CAAATACGTGAGTCATAACTCAGAAACATATTCCAATGTAGACATATCCTGAGTCACTTCCATCTCAAAAGCTTATAAATATTTAGTTAGCCACTTTGTTTTTAATTTAGCAGAACAACAAAGGTTCATTAGACAAATGTCCATAATTATCTTTCACTAAGAAAGTTCTTAAATACTTCCACTCTTGCAAGTTCCTTTTCCTTTCTGTACAACCCAGAATTATTAGGTACATATAACTGACAAAAATTCTAATTGAACTAAAAACTAATTTCTCTGGTTCTTTGTAATTTGCACCTATTTCTAATATCAGATTTGTTCACTGTAAGAATATAATTTCATTTAAGCAGTAACTGGTGAGTAACTGGATACATCTCTCCTGATATGAGCTGGCACATCAGCTCTTTCTAAAGACCACTGTCAATCAGACCCTGCTGGAGTCAGTGAGGATGTACATGGACACTTGAATAAAAAATACATCTATATATTTTCTGGAAGAACCAGCTTATATCTGTTTTTGCCAGTGGCAGGAGGAGAATATAAGAATTACAATATTTAAGGTATAGCCTTAAAAAACCTACCTGTTATTGTCTTATAAAATCATAATTTTGTTGTTATGATTGCAAGTGTTTGAGTTAAAAATATTTTTTTATGTAAGGACGCAAGTTTTGAGTTTACATCCCTCCATTTAACAGGCTGAACTGGAAGCCAGTGAGTGCTTTACAGAGCACCTTCCACTGCAGAGTGCTCAGGGACTGCTGGAGTCCCACAAATCCCAGCTGCTCCTCCAGCAAAGCTGTTGGAACCTTGGAATAGAAAGATTATCAGCAAAGATTGGCTGATGAGCCAAGGCTGCAGCAAAGAACGAGGTTGGTTTGGTGCTTTCTTTTTTTTCCATGGTCAGTGGTGCTTTTTCTGTTTTGCCATTTTGGTTGGTTGATCTGTATGTCAGTAATTCACACACACAGACACTGTATGTGGTTTTAAATTTTGATAAATCAAAATGTCTATTCAAGCCTTTGCTGTGCTGTAGAGAAAAATACTGCATGATTCTCCATATAACACAGACAACAGGTTCTTCTTTACTCTGGACTGAATTAAAGATTTGCATCCTTATCCACAGGGAAATTAGTGGTTCAGGAAGTTTGGGAATAGTAGCAGAACTAATGTCTGTCTGGAAAAAAACAGACTTGGGTAAACTTGGGAATGGACAAAGGAAAGGGCAGCATAAGGGCCAAATCAACAGAGTCATTCTTGTGGCCTCAGTACAGGTGATAGGGGGAGCAAAGCCTTCCCAAAGAAAGAGAGGAGCCTGGCAACTGCAGTAACCCCCCAAAGCCTAAACAAAGGAGAAAGGAGAGGTGAGCTTTTCTCTCAATATAGCAAATAATATTATACTGAAATTGCCATAGCAATAAAGCTACAGCTATTTATTATAGCATGAAGAGCTAATCAAAACCAACCATCAGAGGCAGCTGAACCCTGATGAACACTGGAGTTTGGAACTGGATGATCTTTAAGGTCGCTTTCAACTCAAAACATTCTGTAATTCTATGAACACTCAGCCTCATAAAGGAGACTTGTTATTTTCCAGTGAATAATAAAGGGCTTGGGTAGAACATTACCATGGCAAGGTACCAAAACAAGAGCTGTATCTAGTTTTGGATGATTTCCTGTAAAATTTCTGATGTTGAAGGTGACTCAAAACACTGCACAACCAATCAACATTGTATGAGGGTAATTGGAAAATTGAAAATACAAAGAATTTTTAGAGAGTTTAAAAACTAGAGTTGATTTTAAAAACCAGAGCGGGTTATTTTTTCTGTTTCACATTCAAAGGATAATTTAACATTCTGAAAACTGTTCTTTGGCAGAATCACAATTGTATAAAGTCTTGGAATATAAACTTTTATAAAGTAGCTGGTGGCATGGGCATGGGTCAGTTTGAAATACCATCACCTTGGGAAACTGTGCCTGTTCTTTTGTTTGTGTGCTGGATTAAAGTGACTGTCTGACTTGGACCTGGTGAGAATTCTGCATGACTTTTGTAATATTATAGAATATTTTAGAGATTATTCACCTGGGAAATTGATCAGAGAATTATCTATTTAGGTCCATGTGAGTTGTATTCCACATCATAATCATCTGCAACCTACATGAGACCAGAAACCCAGATTGTTGTAGGAAAGACAAGCCATTTCTTCCTCTTCAGGAATTTTCTAAATCTGTTTTTATGATACAGGACCATTTTGCAATATGTTTGTTATACCTTTTTATTAATCTTGTCTTTAATGTTGGCACTATTAAAAAAAATAAATTTAAATGGAAGTCTCTATCCCTAGGAGCCCAGACATTTACTGTAGATACAGACAAAATCAGGAACTTCTACAATACCTCTTCAAAACATTCTCTTCTCTGTTAACTGCCTCACTGCTATGGACTAATACAGCAATAGATGTTAAATGAAACATTTCTAATGATGCAACATGTATTAAAACATATCATCTCCATCCCATTGTGATTTTAGTTGCATTGCAGAAAAAATTAATGCAGTGGTGGCACAGGCACCAGAAAGGTATTAGGAAGCAGAGTTCTGCTAGCTTTTTTAGGTACTTGTGATTGCCACCTGAACCCCCTTGCAGCTGGAATAAACAATAAATGTCCAAAAAGAACATGAGAATCAGTAAGGCTTCAATGTTTACTTATAAACACAATTCCTGAAAACACATCAACCTCTGGAAATACTGGTCTGTCTACTGATTCTGTGTACTTTTTAATTATTTTTACCTTTTATTTTCATTCTCTCTGAAGTGTTTGTAGGGGAGGAAACATTCATTACCAGTGGTATTTCCTCCATTAGAAATAGAATTATGTCTGTTTAGGCAAATCCCTTTCCTTCCTATTTCACTTCACAGCTGTTTACTGTTCAGGGCTTATTGCATTTTGGCTGCTGCAGCACATCTCCCCCAGTACAGGAAGCTATGAAGTAATTCCTTTTGTCATTTTGGGCAGTATGTGCAAAGGATCGTATGTTTGGTGTGTTTTTTGTTTTTTTTTTTAATTGCAGAAGTAATGCAAGACTGCAAATTTTCATCCCAACTTGCTCACTTTTTGGCATTGTTCATGTCTGGCCCATTTACAAAAATAATCACACCCTTCAGAACCACATTTCAATCCTTCCTCCCTGGCATATGGGACTTGAAGTCAATATTTTCTGCTGTGACTTTAGAAAAACAAGTAAAGTTTCTTCATATCGTTGCCCTTAACACGTCCCTGGTACTTCAGGTGTGCTGCGTTTCCCTTCAGAGGGACAGCGGGTGACCGAGTGGCTTTGCAGCGACATCTCCTGGCCTGATTCCCCTGAACAGTGTCAGAGATTCCTCTCCCAAGGGGGGAGAAGCTCTCATGTGGATTGAGTCGAATATTTCACACAGAGAGGAGGTAGGATGCCATTAGAAAACCAAGTCATTACCTCTGTTTAATCAGATAAGTGACATTGTCAACATGATTATCAATTGTACAAAAGATAAGTTAGAAATTGTTTTCATATGCTAAAAAGAATATAGATATTTGCCATTTCTCCAAAGGCTGCAAAGTCTGGACAGCATGGTAAGATGGACATCTAAGGTTGCTGTTGCAAACATCACACATTATCTAGTGCACAAATATAACAAAGACATAAAACAATTTCTCTCTGGCTAAAGTAAAAAAAAATAGAATATGGAAATAATTCCCCTCCTTGTGTTTAGCCACTCACCATCTAAACAGCTTCATACCTCTTGGAGTTTCAGTACTTGAGGCCTCACAAACTAAACTAAGGCAAGAGAATCTAAAGTAGCAACATACAGCAGGTCCACAATCTACCAACCCTCGATTTCAGAACGAGATTTTGTCAAAGATATTTGTGTGTCCTCTGGAGTAAAGAAGAGTTCTTGAGGGAAGAGAGTGGAAGTGTACCAACTTCCAAAGTCTGCATGGAAAACCAGTGTAGGACCAAACCCCTAAAAAGGGAGCAAGGATAGGTCACAACAGGAATCACAATAAATGCTGAGGATTTGTCCTTAGCTAAAAGCTCTATTTCATGTCCTTCTTTGCTGTGAGATAATGACTCATCAGTAGCAGAGGTGAGAGGAAACCATATTCTTCCAGAGAACAGGGAGCTCTCAGGCTAAACTGATGGCCTCTCTCAAAGTGAAGAACACTGAAGGTGCTGCTGAGGGAAGGGCTTTCCATGCTCACCCAGGTGAGCCGATGGGAAGGGTGCTCTGGCAGAGGCTGGCAGGAGCCAGGTGGCTTTGAGCAGTGTCACTGTCCCTTGACTGGCCTTGGTGGCTGAGGCTGGTGACTCACCTCAGCTTGCAGTCACGAAAAGCAAATTCCAGCCTTGGTGATAAGAGTGCTTTGGAATAATTAAAATTGCTGTCACACATGGTATTTTCATGTTCAATCTGTGTATCTTTACAAGCTGTATACCCTTGCCAGGCACTTCAAAAGGCTTAGCTCTGGAGCAGCAATGGATTAACTCAAACTGCTGAGTCTGGGGTATATTTGTCTATATTCTGTAGGCAGTTCCATACTGTCCCAATGAATTCCATATGAATGTTCTGTATAAATTTTGTTCAACAGAAGCAGAAGTCAGATATGTTTGGAAGCTGTGACCTTTCTCAGCAGTTTCTCAGCTGCCCACTGGAACACATTGTACAACATACAGTGCACTCTGAGTCTCTGACATCTTTCAGTGATAACCCTGGACTTCAATGAAAAATTCAATTTACCTGTTAACTCTATTGGTATTCTTTTCAATGAATTGCACTTGAAAGTAATTGCACTAATCTATAGCTGCACTTCTGAATGCCTTTCAGATACAACACTTGTAGGCTGCATTGGCAACTTATTTCCTTCAGCCCCAGCCTTACAGAGGTTTCAGGCTGTAGCTTCTTCTTAAACACTTTGTAACTAGAGGTTCCTGGATTATTAAAAACATGTTATGTCCTGGATTTAGCTCAACTTTTCTGGAAAGCAATCATCTGGAAGTCAGCCTGGGATCCAGCTGTGTCACATGGATTTTCCCTGCTTTCTGAAACCATCTGTTCCACTGCTTGGGAGGTTTCTGGGTCCTGGGAGCAGGGACTGTCCAGGGTGTCACCGCTGCTGTTGCAGTGCAGAGGGGAGGCCATGTCAGAAGGCTGCTCTGAGGGTTTCCCTGCAGCAGGAGGCAGGGGCACGGACAGAGGGACATTCATCATGTAGAACACATTGCCCAGACGTCGGGACACCTTTAAAGACAAAGGCACGATTGCAGCAATTACTTCTTGCTGTTAAAGCCATTAAACATCAGGCCTGACTCTGGTGCAGCAGCACCAGGGACATCCCAGGCATGCCAAAGGGTTAGCAAATTCTTGTGAAAAAAATCTTTTCCATTTTCACTCTCTTATATTTTTCTAGGCCCAGGTTGTGGAAGGAGCTTGTCAATACCCAGCTTAGGGCTGTTGGGCCCACCAGCAGGATCCTCCTGCTCCCAGGGTGCTGCAGCACCCAGGGGCAGAGGGGAGGCAAACTGCCAGCCAGGAGTGGGGCAAGTGGTTGGAATGAGGGAAGAGTAAGAGAGTACAAGGGGTTAAGAAAAAGAAAAAGAACGAGCAACAATAGAAACCAGAGAGAGTTTATATTAGTGGATGAAATTAAGGGCAGAAAACTGCAAACAGCAAGGGACAGTCTGTTACTGAAAAATGTCATATTCCTGACTGTCTCTCTGTGTGCCATGGTAACATGCAGGGAAGCAAAAGAAAACTTTGCTGGAGTGATTTATTTTCTCCCAATATTGTGGCATTTACCAGTGAAAAAAAAGTGCTTTAGTTTGCAAAAATTCCTTCCTGCCATCTTCTGGCACTTCCATGCCTCTGTGACTCACCATCTTGGCATACATTTAATGATCGTACCTGAGAGCGGATTTTTAATGCTGGTCCGAGTTTTAATCCCATTGTATCCAGGAGATGTTCCTCTGTTAGCAGTGGAAGGGTTTCTCCATCAATAGCATGGTCTTTAAATATCTGTTGAAATGATAAAACACATTGACTTTGGTTGTTATTTTTCATACTTAACCCTGAGGTATAAACAATAAAAAGAAGAAATAATAATTTTATTGCTTTATCTTTGTATTTATCTTCTAACTGCACAAAGAAAACTATACTCGTAATTTTAGTGACGATCAACTACCCTCCTACATTTACATTTCCTTGCTGACATTTAAATCTAGATGGTCCTAAAGACCTGAAAATGTGGTGAATGTTTATAATCACCTGGGCATAATCTGAGCAGCCTGGGAGGCTGACAATGAAGTTGTGCACATCATCAACTGTCCACTTGCGAATGTCTTCGACAGAAGAAATGTCTTCTCCATTCAGGATCAGGCCATGGGCTCCTTTTTAGGAGGAAACACAGAAGTTATCTTGGAAAAATTTTGCTGGCAAATGAGGAGGAAATTATTGTTGTCATGATAATTTTTACACCTTTTCAGAACCTAATATATTAATAGCAGGGTGTAGCCACTTGCAGATACAGGAATCCTAGACACAAAATCACCAGGTAATGAGAAGAATCTGGTTCTGAAGGGGTTTTTTATGTGTCTTCTTTTGTTTACTGCTGGCACTGTACCTACCAGTCACTACACATACAAATCATGTTGCAGGACTTCCTCTAATGGGTGCATTATCCAGTGCTTTTTCTTCTTTGGACTTTACTGTTACTATAATTTGACTAATATTTCAGTAGAACAGATCCAAGTCTTTGCTAGTCTGTGGTGCCTACTGTGAGTTAGGACATAGAGAATAGTTGTGGGTTGAAGAGACAGGCTAACCCACGACTTCATTCAGCAATTTTGTTTTTTTAAATAGAAAATCCTTTTTAAGACATGAACTGAATACAGATATTACTGTTTGCAGCATTAGAATTCTACTTTTAGTTGCAATGACTCTACCAAAAATTCACTTAAAACAGAGGGAAGAATTGAGAGACCAAATCAATAAAACCAGATTATATCAACATATGACTCTAATTTGGAGATTTGACAAACCTGAAGGTAGCAATGGGTTGTTGGGCACTGGAAATCCATATGGTAATGCTGAGAATGGGATTGCAGAAGGGTACAGGTACTTGTCATCAAAAGCAGCACAGGAGCTGTTGGCTTCCTTCTCGTTTGTGTTGCTGCAGCTGGTGCTTTCAGTAGGAATGTCATGAGTAGCACAGTTTTTTCTCAAGCCTTGTTCAAACTCTTTGCAGTTCTTGGCAACTACTGCTGGCTCAGTCTGGTTTTTGCTCTGCTCGTGTTTGTTTGGTGTCTCCACCTCTACTTCCTTCTTGTCCTCTTTCTCCTCATCCACTGCAGCTGAGGCAGAGTCGGTGGATTTGTCGTCTGCCTGGTTCTTTGTGCCGTTGGCGCTGCCCTCGGCAGTTTTGTGATTTCCAGCTCTCCTCCCTGGGCGGCGCCCCCTCTCCCTTTGCAGGGTGGTGACCGGCGGGTAGGGGCTGCCTGCCATCAGCATGCTGTTGCCATGGATCTCGTCCAGCGTGGTCCTGTGGACGTACAGGTCGTTGGCAAGGTGCCCTTCGGGGAGTCTGTGCCTGCCACGGAAAGCAATGGGACTCGCTGGCATCCCGTGGTAAAGGAAAGGGGCTTCCAGGCCCAGGAGTCCTTTCCGATGGGCTTTCTCCATTTCCTTTTGCTGAAAAATAGCACTCATCTCCATTTCCATTCTAAGAGACACACAGAGCATGAGCAGTTAGGGCAGCTCGGTTCCTTCATCACCTTATTTTATTTCAGCAGCAGAATAAAACTCAGATAAACGAATGGGCAAGAGTACTGCTTGTTCTGTCTCTCCCCTGTATTGCTGTGGGTGAGAGGGTACAAACTGCAGATGGAATGGCAAACCTGGCTGTATTTAATGTGCTGTCAGATACAGATAGTAAGCTAAAAGAAAGGGAAAACACATCTTCCATGTCATGGCTCTGGAAAACACTTCAGACAAAAAAGTGTTATTTACATATTGGCAATCCAGACATGAGGACTATATTCACATTTGGAAAATAGTCTCCAGAGTCTAGGGGTTGAAGACTAAAGAAAATAATTGATTTATATTATCAGAAATTTGTACCAAAAACTGCAGAATCCCAGTGATATTGTAAATTATAAAGAACAAGAATGACATTATCTATGGAACCTATGCATCTATTCAGAATAAGCTAATGCTAAGTCTCTTGAGTAACCCTCCACAGTGCCTGGCACCTGAGCATGGTGCCTGAGAGTGTAAAAGGGTGAGATCCTGGTGGGAAGTGTTCAACTGATCTCCTTCCTTCTGGATGAATGCTCCAGAGTCTGTGCCAGCTTCCTGCTCCTGTCATAGTGGATGGGAGGGCTTGCCAGTGGGATACAAAGATTACAAGTATTTGTATTGTATTTGTAATAGTAGTATTTGTCTCTGCTGTAGCAACCTTTGCTGGCATCACCTTTCTCTGGAGCCAGGCCAGTGATCAAACAGAAAGGTAAAGCTCCTAGAGGAGCTTTGAGGAGCTTTCAGTAGGATTTTTGCATCTTTGGAAAAGAGCCTGTGAAGTAAAGCACTTTAAAGTGCATTAAGATAGCTTTCTTAACACTGCAATGAGTATAACAGGTCACAGAGAGCCTGATCTTCAGGAGAGTGTAAATTTGTCAGGAAAACAATTTGGGCAAAAGCTATCTATACAGATTTTTGGTATGAGGAGGAATTATTTGATCACATCATTCAGGACTTTTTCTCTGTCTTCTTTTAATCTTTGAAACAACCTCCAACTCATTGACTTTCTGCTTTCAGAGATACAGAGGAAGTGTTTTGTCTATGTACCGTGTCCTTGTACGTTTTGCCGATTGTCATTACTCCCACCCAGCTTTTGAGGTGACAATAAACAGCAGAAAGCATTACATTCCTGCCTCCTCCTCCAGCTGAGATAGTGTGTTCCTGTCAGGACCAGCAAAAAGAGCTTTGGGATGAGGCAGAGTCCCTTGGAGAACAAGAATTTGAACCCAGGTGCTCAGCAACACAGCTGCACCAAGTGCAGGACATTGTCAGCATGGGGTTTCTGGAAGAGCTGAAAGGAGCAAGTGCAGCCCTAAAGGGGACCTGTGGTTCAGAGAGCTGTGTGAACACAGTGGAAATTGTCAAAGTGGCAGAAAGCTGGGGTAAAAAGTTTTTAAGTTGTAGGTGAGCTGTTTCATGTTGGAGTTTTGCTGTTTAGTGGGCTGAGGGAAGAGCTTGAACAGGTAGGACCAGCTCTGATGTGGCTGTGGGTGTATGACATGGCCATGTTTGCTGCTTGTTGTTTCATTTGTTTTTCTCAGGGTTTTTGCCAAGTGGCAAGAGCTATGGGAAATGCATTGCTGATGCAAATCTTGTGCTTGGAGGAGTTCAGTAATTAAGCTTTGCTGACTAAAGAGCTCAAAACACTTCCATCATAATTTTTTTTCAGATGAATGTACAGAACTTGGCTGTTCTTTGCTCTTACTCTCACTGTGTGAGGGACACTTCCACTGAGTAGTGTAGCTCAGTGCAGGAGTGGCTGAGGTTAGAGCTCCTCTGTGGAAATGGTGTGGCCATGAGGAAGGGCACTGCTGGTCTTTTAACCAGCTACAGACTACACTGAAACTGGTACAAATAGTTGGACTTTCTACAGTCACTCTGCTATTCCAACTCTTTGGTCAAACTAGGAAAGCTGCCCACCCTGCTTGGGTGGAGACACAGCTGCTTGTCCCAAGGGCCCAGCTACAGGCCTGAAGTGTTGTGTGTGATATCACACAGCTGCAAAGTTTGAATTTGTTTCTGAACTTTTGTAACTTCAGGATGTTTGGATCTGCACTTCAAGGGCTGTGGCTTGTTCTTTTCCTTAACCAAGCTGAGGGGTTTGTTTATTTTTGTTACATCATTTTAAGAATAAAAGCAAAATAAGGTGAGCAGAAAGTAGTAGCTTCAGGCCTTAATTGATAAGGGCCCTCTGCTTCTTTGGGCGACTTGAAAAACAATCTCAATCACTTTGCTGCTTTAATCCTGGCATGCACCTCAGAGCAAAGCTTGCTATTGATTACCTGGCAATATTTTGCTTTTGAACCAGTTCTTGTCTTCTGGCCACAGCTTCCATGGATTCTGGCTGCAGAAAGCTGTATCCTTAGAAGGAAGTGGAATAAAAAAATCTTTAAAATTCATTGGTTTCCTCATGCAAATGCACAACCCCTAAAGCAGTGCAGAGACACTTTTAAAAACTTTGTAAATCTTCAACTGTGGGCTTCACCAGGAAATTGATAGGATTTCAAATTAAATCCTATTTGTTGTCATTGTTTTGGTGGCAATATGTAGAAAGAACATGAAGTCCATCATCAGGTGTTTTAAGCATCAGATCTGTAGTTAGGAATACCTGCCATTAACCACAAAGGGTGGTTTTATTTGGTGCCATATGCCTTTGAAGTACATATAACTGCCCAGAAAATAATAGCCCTCTGTTGAGCAAAGCAAACCTGCTCCTTCAAGACTGCTTTGCCTGGAGGCTGTGTAATTTTAAATTACATTTCCTCTTGAGATCCATGTTAAGGCAGGGAAAGAAGCTGAAATCAGAAATTTTTCTTGGTGTATTGATGCGACATTGAAAATACATTCACTCATCTCAAAGAAAAGCTCTTGAGCTCATTATGTATAAAGTAAAATGTAAATTTTTGTGCAGCATGACATGAATGCCATTGTTGTGATGTCCAGCCTTCCCCTTGGAGTTGTGCCCTCTAATTTTGAGCCTTTATTTGAAAGGACTTGTATTTGCCCTACATGAATTAAGTGGCATGTGGTATTATCATTAGAGAATATGATCAGTATAAAGCAGCCAATACTCATATAGGAGCAAGAGTAAACTGTAGTGTAAAAGTGTTGATGAGGAGCTATTTTTTTAGCTATAGCCTTTTGTTTGGGTGTTAAAGTGCTTAGAAAATACAAAAATAAAAGGAGGGAACAAAAACATGCAAAAGACTGAGAACTGTATTTAACAAAGGATAAAATGGACATGCTTAGACCTAAACTGGCACAGGCTGCCTCCTTTTAGTGAGACTTCTAAATAAAATAAACTGTTATTGACTCTACCAACAAACCTATGGAAAACTAGCAGGTACAGCTGGCTTTCTGATCCACATGGTCCCACTTTTCAGGATGCAGAGGGTACTTTGTTACCTGGGCCTGGGTAGACACGGTTGGACAGCAGGTTTGGCATGTTGGGGTGCTGTGGGACTGTGGGTCCCAGGTGGGATGCTATGTGGATTTGTCTGGGGTCAGCTGAGGCCATCATTTCAGTTGAAGGTAGCAGATCTCTGAGAGGAAGAAAACCCATTCAGATATGCAGAGGATATCGTTTAGTTAAGAATAACCAAAGGTCTTTACAACCTCGGGGACAGCACACACAGTGATTAACTGCAGTGCTGGAACAGAAACCGGTGCCCGGTACCTGTCCACCAGTCGCGGCTCAAACTGGGCGGGGATCGCCTGCATCCTCTGCTGGCCCGGCCCCATCAGCTGCGGGTTTACTGCCATCAGCTGGTTCCTCATCAGCATCTCCTGCCGCTGCCGCAGTTCTGCAAAGCACACACGGTTCTGCTCTCAGAGGGGTAGGTTAGGAAGTGATTCTGGCTGCGGTATAACCTTACCAGAAAAAAAAATGTTTTGTTTTGTTTCCTCTAGTGCAATTCACACCTTTTTTAATAGCAGCAACAGAAAACATGTTTTCACTGGCACCTGAACGACTTTGTTTAAATAATGTAGATTTATTCAATCAAACTGCAGTAAAAATAAATAGGATGTGCTCAGTCAAGTGTATCAAAGGACAAATTACAATGAATAATAATTTACGTAATACTGTGAAACAGAAGATAGCCATGGATGTTCAGTTCTCTGCTTGAGAGGGTTTTAATTTCTAATATGGGTTCATTTTGAGAAAAATCATACTAGGTGGAACCTGCATTGTCATGAGAAAGCAGCTCTGGAAAAAAAAGCCCACAGTGGTGAACCAGAACATCATAATGTCCAGCTGTGGCTTTTGTTCTGAGTTCTTGTGTGCCATTTACTTGTCTTCCAGATGCTCAACATCTCTTAATCAAATACTGAATTCCAAGAGCCCTCTGTGTTAATTTTAATTACCTTAACCAAATACTTCTGCAGTTACTCCTAAGATAAATTTGAAATAACCTTTTAAAGACATCAAATGCGCTGCTGGCTGTTTCTTGTAGGTGGTAGATGCCAGCAATGCTGTAGCCACAGTCAGTGGGGTTCCTTGCTGCTCACCTCCTGCTGCCATGCCGCCTGCCAGCCGGTACAGGTGCTTTTCCTCCAGGGATCCCTGTTCCCCCAGCATGGACATCTTCCTCATGTGCTCCCGGGGAGTCATGCTGCAGGGAGACAGCAACAACTCTGCTGCTGGAAAGAACCAAAGCAGCAGCACCAAAGACAGGAATAAGACATTCAACAATGAGAAGCAGAGAAGGTTATGCAGGTTGTTTCCCAGCTGAGCAGGTCACAGCTGGATCCTTCCACGCCCATGGGTTGTTTTCCATGTAGAAATTTCCAGTTTTCAGGACAAGGCAAATATTGCCCTTGCTTACACTGACTTGTTGGATCCTACAATGCAAGGAAAATCAGGATGCTGGAAAATCACACCTGCTCAAAAGAAGCCTTGTCCTTTAGCCCCTGGTGTGTCTGAGAGCAGTGATGTGCTCATACTTAGGAAGGCAGGTGTCTTTGGTTTAATTTCAGAATTGTAGCAGTTTGGAGCCCTGTCTACTGTAAACTAAGTGAAGCAGATGGAAATAAATTGTAGAAATTATCTGTTCCAAATGACATCAGCCCCTTAAGGCTGCCAAATTGAAGTTAAAAAGGTAAAAGAACATGCTTTGTAGTGATGAAAAAAGTGATAAAACCAGTAACACTCAGATTAATTATATGTTTATATTAATTATTAAATTAATATATGTAATCAATATATGCATAATTAATAATTGTAAAGGAAGCAAGTCCTGTAACCCAGAGCCAAGATGTTAAAAAGCTATCCTGTATGGAATGATTTGAGTTGAGGAGTTGGCAGAAGGAGCAGGTTGGCTCCAGAGGCAGCATCAGGAGCATCTGCACATTCATCTCACACTAGACTTGCACAGCAAATGATTAGATTTAAATTTTTTTTTTAAGTAAGGAGTTGAATTTCCATCCCCATTTAGCTCTGATGAAGTGGATTCTTTCTGTCTTCTGAAAGAAGAAAAATGTACTGCTGAAGTGTTCTCATCCTGCAGATAGAGAGTTACAGCTCCAGGAGTTCAGCCAGCATTTGGTAGAGGTAGCAGTGAGGGAAATGCAAAGACAGAAACAACGTTCCTTATCCAGAAATGAGATAAAAGTGAAGTCCTGTGTTTCATTACCCAAGCCATTTATAAATTAGATGTATCATTATAACTTTGTTTATTGCCTTTGACCTATTGACAAGTTTAAAATAATTTAAGTGATAGATATCAATCTAATTCACGTGCCTAAGAAATTTACCATTTCTGTGGTGTGAGGGAGATGCTTGGTCTCAGAATGAGTTTACCAAAAGCTAACAAGTGAGTAATTTCAGCCGTTCACACTGAAAGTAGAGGCTGAACTTGGACTATACCAGTGGTGTTCCCTCAAAATAAAAAGTGCTTAACATTTGTAAGAGTAGATGTTGGATTTTGTGCTGGCCAAGACTCAGGTCTTCCTGGCAACAGACAAGTCTGTCAAATCCCAGACTAGCACCATGGCCTTTGTTCTTGACATTTGTATCTGAACATGTTTCCATTGGCTTTTTTTTTAGGACACTTTAGACTTAAAGCGATTTAGGCTGCTGGGTGCCTCATGAAGAGCATTTGAGCTGCCAAAGTGCTTCTGAGCTGCTAAAGCATTTTAAAGCTCAGGACTAAAGCGATTTAGTGCTGGACTAAACTTTTCAACAGCTCAAAAAAATAGGTAACTGGGATGATGGTATTCGCCATACCATATTGTTCAGTGAGCCATTTAGGTGTTTTTTGGTTTTGGATAGAGACTCTGTATTGAATAATCTGCAAAACAAACTGCAATGTTAAACTTCATGCTGCCCTTCTTACTGCCTGGCCTTTGGCCTTTATCTGGCCCTTTTTTTCTGGAGAAACCTGGTCTACCTGAAGATGTCAGTGCTTATTGCAGGGGCATTGGACTAGATGGCCTTAAAGGTCCCTTCCATTCCAAACTGTTCTGTGATTCTGTGAAGGTGCAAAGAAACCATTAGAGGTTCAGATAGCATAATGGAAAAAAAGACCCAGGAAGTTTTAACCTTTTTATTCTAGTAAATAAGGGAAAAAATAAAATTAATAGTGAGTTTTAATACTGACACATTTTTGTCTCTCAGATGATTGACACGTTGTACCACTTTTGCATTTAGGAACTGCTAGAATGTGCCAGTTTCCTGTTTAAATCAAAGTCATGAATGTGGTTTCTTTTCCAGAGAAATGTCCTTTGTGGGAAAAAGACACACAAGTAAAAGACACTTTCTTCATCAGGCCTTCCAGAACTTCTATGCTTCCCCCTAAAATCACACTGGTGACTGAAATTATAGGATGCAACTTTAAATTGTAGAATCATGGAAAACCTGGTGGGAAAAGAGCCATCTGTTCTGGCCCAAATCCCTCCTGTGGGATCCCATATACCCTGCCTGTTCTGACAGGCATCCATCCAAAAGCAAGCAGCAGTAAGTGGTTAGAAACCAGTAGCACCAGTATCACTGTGGTGTGCTCTGTGTAGTCTGTTGTTCCCAAAATAAGTCTGGATTTTGTGTTGGATGTGAAGGATGATCCAGTGGCTGTTGACAGGCAGTCTAACACTGCCTCCTTTCTGAGATTAAGCAGAAACGATGTAACAACTTTCTTTAAAACTTCTATTTAAATATGAGGTTTTCTTTTAAATGTTGGCATTTTCCCCAGAATGTAGGGTACTGATAACAGCAGCATCCCCAGCGAAGTGATCCATATTTACTGATAATTATTATCCACCAGATGATCAAGATTCAAAGGCCACCATTTCAGACAATGTGTATCAGATAAACAACTTATCCTTGCAAAGGGGTAGACAATGTGGTCTTTTGGTTTCACAAGGAAAAGATCTAGTATTGAAAAACTCATGGAATAATATGATTTAAAAGTTCTTTGAGATCTTCTTCCACTAAAGCTGTAGCTTACTGCTTCCACTGACCCAAGTTTTGAATCATCATAAGCCAAAAGGAAGGTTTGATTCCTTTGTGATGTTTTCACTGGAGCTGCTTCATGAAATCATTCTCATTTTTTCATTAGTGTGCCAATCAATTCTATCTAACTTGTCTTGAATTTCTTCTCAGATACATAAAAATAACTGTGGTATTTGTGATGTAAAGCTGAGATGTTATTTCCACCAGAATTCTAATCTTTCTGCAATTGAATGGCAAAATATCCATATGGTTCGAACTTAGTTTAAAGGACATGTTTTGTATGTGTGTGTGTTATCTGTATTAAATTACTTCTTTATTTCCCTGAATTTCCTGCTAGTGAAGTATTGAAATGATCAGGTGGGATAAATAGCTTAATAACCTAATATAAAGATTTGGATGTAACTCTGTGTCAGGAGGAAGTACTGAACCTGACTAATCCATGTTAGTCCATTTGGAACAACATCTTTTTCAGTTACTTAGCTGAGGTTCTGACCTGCAGGTCAAATTTAGGGTAGTTTAGGTTCATACTATTTTCATAACAAGTCACATATTAGAAACCACACCAGCTGAGGAGGATCTGTGAGGGAACAGGGAAAGTACACTTCTGATACATTTATTAGCTGGGATTTGAGAGGAGCTCAAAATCTGGCATCAGGGTTCATATAAATTCATACACACCAGCTGTCCAGCGTTAGATTCATATATGGCTCTGCTCTGATCCTATTGCACAAATCCTGGCTGTACAGCACATTACAGGGATGAAGACAAGTTAATCTCTGCCTTTAGAGTCTTACCCTTAGCAAACCCTTCTTGACAGCAGGCAGAACCACTCACCCAGGACTAATTCTGTCTCAATTTATTAGATGAGAAGTGGCAAGACACGAACTTTATGAACCAGGAGCATTTGCAAATCTAATCATGCAACAATTTCAAAATGTCTATAGCAGTCTACGTGTTGATGTTATCAATTGCATTGGCAAAATATGGTTTAGTCATATATAATATAGACTTGTTGGAAGACTTGTTTTTTTAGTTAAATGCATTGAGATTTCATTTGCAAATACTGCTTTTATTTACATCAAACACGTGGAATTATCATTCTTTAAAGTCCATGTTTAGTGAACTACAGCAGTGTCTCCACAGACTGGAAGAAGCTGAGTATTGTCTAAAATGCTCAGATTAATTTGTATCTGCTAAATCAGTCAAACACACAATATCAACATGTATTCATGCTTATGAGAGAAACCTGTGAATGAAGACATACATAATCTCATTTGCATTTTCATTGGCTTCCCTTTTAGAAAAAGCTGACCTGATTGCTTGAGAAATGAGATACTGTTTTAAAAAATAGATAAATATTCCAATATTTATAATAATCTTAATGTTAATAGTTATTGGATCAAGGGTTCTTGCTCTGAATCTATGCTGAGGGTCATAAACCTAGAGATTGTAATTGTTCCAGAATCCACAGTCAGCAAAATAAATAACTTTTGGAAAGGAAAAAGGCAATTATGCTGGCATTACATCATATAGGAGTATGAAATATGTCTTAATTGGAGTAAGGTGCCATTGGAGAGGCTGTGGGGCTGAATTCTAATCCTAGATATGTGGGCCCAGACTGCTCAGAGACTGAGATTAGAGTGTAATCCTAAAACTGGATTGAGAACGATACATTCCCTAAAGAAAGGAAAATAACTCTATTTATACAGTGAGTGTCAGCCAGCAGAGTTTGTGTTGCATGCCTTCACACTGGCTGGGAGACACAGACCTGCCCGTTCTGGAGCCACTGATTGGTAAAATGGTGAGCAGCAAGTCACTCTTTTTTTTAAACACACTGTTCTCAGGCAGTAGTCAAGGCTTAGTGCTGGCACACTCAATCCTTCAGGAACAAAGCTGGGTTCATAACAAAAGCTCATCTTGTTCCCCTTGGAATGGCTGTGGGCAAGGGGAGACTTACTCTGTGTGCCACTAAGGCAGCACTCAGGCTGAGCATGGGCTAAACGCAGAGGTGGAGATGCTTTGTGCTGAGCACAAACACACAGGGAGGGCCTGCAAAGCCTCAGAGGGGACAGAGACAGACAGTGGAGGAAAAGGGAGCTGAATTCCTGCTCTTTGATGTGGCACTGGAGGCACAGAGGTCCAGGACTGTCCACAGCTGAGGTGAG